GCTCACCCCCATTCTAAGTTCCCATATTTCTGAACCCTGTGTCTCTAAGACACCATCCTCTCTCCTGTGGCCACACTTTAACTCTGCTGTTCCTTTAAGCTGCAATGCCTTTAACTGCTTTGTTCACTTGCAAACCCCAGCCTCAGTGCCTCCTTCCCTGACTGACCTGAATTCAGAGACTGGCCTGTGTGCCTGCTGCACCTGACACACACCTGTTTGCACTTTCGCACGCTTCCGTGATAAGCAGCTGGCGTGTTGGTTTCACAGAAGACCAATGAGTCCTCATGGCTTGGGCCCATGTTTTTTTTACGTTTGTACTGAGTGTGCCCAGCACATGGGGAAGGTGGTTAGTACATGTATGTGAATCTGTGCATGCATAAGTACCATAGAAATTGCATTTCTCTTAATTTACTCTCTCTCCTCTACCAGAATGTTAGCCCTTTCAGGCTCTGAATTTTGTGTTTTGATAAGCATTGCATCCCGTGCCTGGAGCAGCACATGACAGATAGCAGGGTCTCGAGAAGTATTTTCTGAATATGTTGGATGAATGAAGGCAGGCAGTGGCTCTGACCAGGTCAGGGGGCCTCGCAAAGCCAGGGGATGGGCTTGGCGTGTGTCTGGCTTTGACTCTAGTCTGGGGGACTGGACAGTCCTGCTTCGCCGGAGCACCTCATGCCCTCGGTGCGTGGACATGGCACCTCGCCACCCCTGCATGTAGGATGCTGGGCCACCTCCCACCAGGGCTTCTTTCCCAGCCTTGCCTACTGAGCCTGGCGAATCCCAGCTGGCCTGGCCCTCCTAGTGTACCTACCCTCCTGGCGGGCACAGGGCTTTTCCCCAGGCGGGGAACGCGGGCTGTGCCCGCTGCTTCCAGACCCCTGTCCACGCCACATGTCCCTCTCTGCTTCCCAGATATCCACAGCTTGCAGCCTCAGCTGGACTGTGGGGCCAGGGACATCAAGGTGTTGCTGGACCGGTGTCAGCTGGAAGGCCTGGGTTTTGGGGATGAGGTCACTGCCTACCTGCTAGACCACAACTGCAGCAGCATCACCCACAGAGAAGAGGGGAACTGGGTCTCCGTGGTCAGCCCTGCCCAGGCCAACGCCTGCGGGAACATCCTGGAGGTGATGGCTCCCTGGGGAACCTCCCGGAGGGGGTGGGGAACCTCCTGGAGGGGGCTGCCGGGGACACATGAGAAGCTGTGAGACCTGGGCAGGCTACGTAGCCCCTCTGGGTTCCAGGGTGTGTGAGATCATACATGTTGGTCCAGGTAAAGAGCGTCGAACAGGCCTGAGGCTTGAGCTCCGTAACTGCAAACAAGGCTGTGCTTGTTGTAAGGGGGGTGACCTGGGAGGGGAGAGGAGCCGGGAGGTGGCTGCTGACTCCCAGCCAGTACATTTGCTCTGGGCCCTCACGCCCTGCCTGTCCAGGGCTGGTGCCCGGGGAGGAGGCCCCATGCTGCCTTGAGATCAGAGCGCGGGGGCAGCAAGTGAAAGCCCTGCCTGTGGAGCCAGACAGACTGAGTCGACCTACCACAGGTGCCCATACACATGCATGTGTTGTTCTTATGCCAAAGAGAAATGAAACCCATGCCATCTACAAAAACACCCTCTCCTTGGTCGATGAGCTAATCATCAGAGACACCAAACTCAACATCAACTTCCAATGCGCCTACCCGCTGGACATGAGAGTCAGTCTGCAGACGGCCCTGCAGCCCATCGTAAGGTGCGGCCCTGACCTCCCCTCCTGGGGGCCCTGACCTCCCCTCCTGGGGGCCCTGACCTCCCCTCCCCGGGGGCCCTGACCTCCCCTCCCCGGGGCCCTGAGGTGGTCACTCTCACTCCTTCTGGAGCATCCACTCTTCCCATCGTTCATTCTACAAAGTTTGTTGATCATATATTAATGATCAATGCACAGGCAGACACAGAATACTTTGTGGATATTAAAGATTATTATTATGAAACAATGTAGCAGCATGAACCATGTTAATTAGATAGCTAAGGAATAAAAACATGTGGCAATTTTATTTCTCCTGAGGAAGGAAGGCATGAGACACTACAATGACAAGTGAGATAGTGCAGTGCAGGGAGGACACGGGCTGTGGGTCAGGAAGGAAGGGCCCAGGACCTAACGGTGGGGGCGATGGAGGGAGCGGCGGGCTTCCCGCCTGCGGTGGAGCAGCTTTGATTTGATGAACAGTCAGCAGAAATAGACCCAATAGTCATCTGGGAGGGACTGCACCCAGCAGGGCTCTGTCTGTGCCCCAGGGGGAGCGCCTCCGCACCTCAGACTCATGGGGGGCTCCCTGGGGTGTCAGCAATCCCTCAGTGGCTCCTGGCTCACAGGCGGCAGGATTAAAAGGATCACACACTTTTCCAGTTTCATGGTTCTTTGACTGTATTGTGTTGGGGCCCAAGGTTCATAAAAATTAAAACCATTCATCTTGTTAAAATTGCCATATTACCGAGGATTGTGGGGTGGGTGGGAGAGATATGCTGCTAAACATGGTGACCCCCAGACCTGGTCCCAAACCCTGCTCTGCCGGGGGGCAGACGGAGGTGTGAGGGGTGAGGGAGGGAGGCTGGGGAAAGCTGAGACAGGCCGATCTGTCTGTCAGGTTCAGAGCCTAGACAGGGGTCCTCAAACTTTTTAAACAGGGGGCCAGTTCACTCAGACGGTTGGAGGGCCGGACTATAGTTTAAAAAAAAACTATGAACAAATTCCTATGCACACTGCACATATCTTATTTTGAAGTAAAAAAACAAAACGGGAACAAATACAATATTTGTATTTGCATGTGGCCCGCGGGCCGTAGTTCGAGGACCCCTGGCCTAGAAGATAGTAAACTCTGGTTTAAAGGAACGATCGACTAGTGTTTGCGGGGACGACGATGTGCTTTTGCCTCCGTAACCTCACACAGAAGTGGGGCCGGATTGATTTTGTTCTTATGGGTCAAAACCTAACGCCTCCACCCTGTGGGCCCTGGTCTAGCTCCGTGAACATCAGCCTGGCTGGCGAGGGAGAGTTTACCATCATGATGGCCCTCTTCCAAGACCCGAACTACACGCTGCCTTACGAGGGGGCGTCGGCCGCGCTGCCCGTGGAGTCCATGCTGTACGTGGGCGCCCTCCTGGAGAGAGGGGACACCGCCCAGTTCAAGCTGCTGCTGAGGCACTGCTATGCCACCCCCACTGCGGACAGGGCTGACCCCGTGAAGTATTTCATCATCAGAAACAGGTACCAGACGCCTCTGGGGCTCGCTTTGGCCTAAATGAAGTTTTGGGGGAAATGATCACCCGGCCCTGCCGGGCAGTTGTGTGATGTGCTTATCTCTCCTGGAAAATAACTGGATGGTACATTTCAGGACCATGCCCTTTGACCCAGGAATACCCTCCTGAAACGGTAGCCTAAAGCGTTAATGCAAAGTACATGGCAGGGCAAGAAAGGCCCATTGTTTTTCACCTCGGTATTCTTCGTCACTTTGGCCGTAGGGTCATTGCTCAAAACGGGGCTCCGTTAGTAACGACAGCCTGTTACACAGATGTTAACACTGACAAATACACGTGAAAACAGCGTACGATGCGAGGGGACACAACATTATTGACCACCGCCGACTGCAAGAACAAAGGGAAGATTCAAACGGCAATGATACCAGCTGCTGGGCACCGGGCGTGTCTGTGCCGCTGTGCAGAGCCGCGCTGCATCATCTCACAGATGCTCACTTTACGGGGGGGGGGGGCGGGGGGGGTGCACGCCAGACAAGATCAGGTCCCCCAGACCAGACAGGCGGGCCTGGGGCTCGTGAGGGGAGCAAGGACCTGCTTGTGATCAGGCAGCTGGAAGCCGGTCGGGCTGGAATTTGTTGCTCAGGGACCACGCCCAGAAAACGGGGTTGGGGCCATGCACAGCATCTCAGGACCTGAGGAGCAGAGCCGCTGGTTGGTGGAGGGAGCTGGGGCTGTGCCCCTCTCGGGTGCTGTTTGCACGCTGGGCACAGATGGAAGGCGCAGCCCAGGGCCTCAGGCCCGCTGAGCTGCTCTAAGTGAGACCCTCGCTGTCACCCGCAGCTGCCCGAATCAGCTGGACTCCACCATCTCCGTGGAGGAGAACGGGGTGTCCGCCCAAGGCCGCTTCTCGGTCCAGATGTTCATGTTCGCGGGGAACTACGACCAAGTCTTCCTGCACTGCGAGGTGCGCCTGTGCCACTCCCTGCGTGAGCAGTGCCAGCCGGTGAGCGTCTCCTTGGATGGACTATTGGAGTCTGGCCTGGGGCCTGATGGGCCCCCATGTGCATTTATTGGAATATAAATAGACGGAAAGAAGAAAAGGGAAGAAAGGAGGGAGGGAGGGAGGGAGGGAGGGAGAAGAAAGCTGGGGGATGAAGAGATGGATGATTGGTGGAGCACGGGAGGGAGGGAGGAAAAGAGGAAAGGAAGAAGGATGAACGGATGGTTTTAAGCCTCCAAAGCACCAGGTATAAGCGATTCTCGTGTCCCCAGAGGAAGACCCTGTGCGCAGGTCTTCTTGGTGAGAGATGTGTTTAGGTGATTCTAATGACAGGTGCCGTTTCAGCGCTCACTCTGTGCCTAAACCTTCCTGTGCCTTGTCTAATGTAATCCTCACAACAACCATGTCAGTAGATTTTATTGACCCCATTGTACAGATGAGGAAACTGAGGCTCAGAGAAGTCCCTTACCAAGGCCACACAGCTCCATCAGAGCTAAGGTGTGACTCCAGGCCCCATGGTGGCCTCTGCCTGCTGACGTTTGGCCTTCGCCGAGTGCGGACTGTGTGTCTGCATGTTGTGGCCACACCACATTTTAGCCTGTCGTGCCGGGAAGGCACTCTTTAATCTGGTAGAGAGGAGCAGTCATTGTCCCCAGTCGGTCAGCTAAGAGGGCGGAGAGGCAATTCCAGCCCAGGCTTGCTGGACTCGGCAGCCAGCATGCTCTCATCCTTTGCATTTTGATGACATGAGAACTCTCCATCCCCACAGTTTTGCTCAAGAAGCCAACTCCGTAGTGAAGCAGTGGCCATCGACCCAGCCCTGGTTCTAGATTTGGGACCCATCACTCGGAAGGGTAAGTGGCCACGTCCTGGTGACAAACCTGTGGCCCAGGGCTGACCAGCAGCCTCAGGGGCCTGGAGTCTCCGACCTCATGAGGCAGAGCCCCGCCCAGGCGTCTGCCTTCCGTGCGGTGCTCTGGGTGGTACTGACAGCGTGTGCCACTGCGGGCCCCTGTGCGCTGGAGGCCAGGCTAAGCCGTGTCCACTGACTCACTTAACCTTGGCCGTGTCCATTTTATAGGTGAGAAACCAGAGCTCAGAGAGACTAAGTGACTCACCAGACTCCCAGCTTGTGAGCGGCTGGAGCTAGACTTGAACCCGGGTTGATTCCGAAGCGTGTGTCCTGCTTATCTCTCCTGCCAGGGCCCACAGCCCAGTCCCTTGGGGTGAAGGCTAAGTCCCACCCCAGCTTTGTTTGCTGGTGAATGACTTTCTCACAATCCAGTTACTGTATTGGGGCGTGATGTGGGGATGCTTTCTGTGGCTCCTCGCATGAGAGAGAGAGAGAGAGAGAGAGAGAGAGAGAGAGAGAGCCATGTGAAAGAAAAACATTGGCCGGTTGCCTCCCGAACTCACCCCAATAGGGTATTGAACCCCACAACCTAGGTATGTGCCCTGGCCGGGAGTCAAACCCTGGCCGGGTGCATTGTTTTTTGTCCTAAAGAAATGAGGACACAGTGACATTATCGTAGTAACAACAACAACAGTAGCAGTACTGTGGGCCCTGACAGAACACACTTACAGCACACGGAGCGCTCACAGCAGCACAGGAAGCGAGTGTTATCGCCACCCCTTCTCCACGGCCGGCCACGGAGGTGGCTTGCAGGGAGGCTCTGCCCAGGGTTGTCCCCCTCTCACCGAGCCCTCCCCGCACTGGAAGCCCCCGGTGGTGTCGCAGGGGCTGGGAGAGGCGGGGCTGGGGGTTGGTGGCGGTAGGGACTCTCATTTGGACTCAGACAGACTGGGGTTAGAATCCCCAGCTCTGCTGCTTACCAGCAAGGACAACGTGGCATGTCTGTTGACATCACTGAGCCTTGGTCTTCTCATCTGTCAAATGGGGATGAGAATGCGCAGGTGGATTAGGGTCCCAATGCATGAAATGTGCTTAGAAAGGTCCCTGCCAAATACCAGAAGCCTCTACACCACGGTGGCCAGGCCCAGGGGGACCAAGCGCAACCCCGGCCACAGTGCGGCCCCTGCAGCGAGACTCCGGAGCCCTCACTTCTGCTTTTGTCACCAGGTGCCCCCTCTCTTGGTGTCATGAACGGAACCCCTGGCCCTGCAGGTACCTCA